AGTTACCCAATCCAAGAAATTTCGTTTGGTCAAAAAAAAATCAGAAATGCCGTTGAACAAAACGTAAACACATAACACTATAACCTAGCTGTGAAAAAATAGGAATCCTTTTTTATCACCAGTTCTAGTGTCGTTAAAATGTATCGACTGGTTTAATATCAGTACTATATTGACATGTTCTTTTTTTAGAACTTCGCTTGGCGTGGTTTGAAGAAATCCAAGCCAAACGCGCGTGGTTTTATTGTCACGGCGCTTGGTGAACCTAAATATGGCACACGCCACGCCAAACTGCGTCGTTCTTTTGTTTGCTGGCTTGGCTTGGCTGAAAACAACAATGCACCCAAGCCAACCTTCTCTTTTACTATATACAGTTAGAAAAATAATATGGTAGTACGGACATAAATATTTTTAGGGCCCGTAGCGGTTTTCTGAGTAAGACAACTCATAGCCGGCCGGCCCTTGATTCTCAAAGTTGATCATTATTACTACCACGGCGGCAACACAGTCACTTTACTATCTGCTGTCTGCACCGCTGATCAAAAGCACGTCCTGCACTTGGTGAAAGTTCGTGTCAAATTTGTCTTAGTTCTCTGTCGTTCCGTCTATGCTTTTATGTCTAGTTCTTTGATCAAAATACCGTCGTTTGCACTGACGACACGAAAAATGTTGTCTGATTTTTGTGGTAAATATTGGTCTTTGAAGTGGAAACGAACAATTCCTTACGGGCGCATGAGTGTGTATAGTTTCTTTTCCCAATTTGACTGTTTCGTTTCGTTGTTGTGACTTTTACGATGGGTAGATTATTTTGTTTGCCAATTGAAACAATAAACAGATAACGTAAAACAACCACATGATACGTAACAATCCTAACTTGTATCCTCTCCTCGCAAACAAATCTGTGGCGCTCAACTTCCGAGAAATGCCAACTTGTTCAGTTGTACCAAGGAGATTTTTAACTCATCTAGACTGAGCGGGTACACGTATAAACTTTTGCCGCGAGCCAAAGCACCAATACACACTGCCAAACAGCTGTAAGCCGACGTCATTTAGTTTTCCACCAAGTTTCTGACAAATACACATCTGGCTGTTGACACAATACGGGGTTTCATTGCGTCCGTTTAACTTACATAATGACTAAAAGTGACAACCGATACGGTGCGACAAAGGCTTCCCATTGCAGTGTGTTACTAACATGTTTTGTCTTCTCTCCATAATCCCACTGCTCAGTTAAGCTTTTCACACGTTTTTCTGTTTGTTCTGAAGTGCTAAGCAGGTAAATCTGTGTGTATACGTATCGGGAGGGCCTGAGAATCCAGACGGGACATGGGGGACGCCATTCCGCGTCCATGTCTTACTCAAAAGCTTGGGTGTGATGCGTATGTACCAGAATGGTCCACGCATTTACATGACATATACCGTCTGTTTTTACTCCGGACACGCCAAGCTACAAGCCAAGCCGAGTCTGCGAGCTATTTTTAAAATAGGACGCGGCTTGGGGTAAAATAAATTCACGCACACATTTGTTTGGCTTCCGATCCAATATAGTTTAGTTAGCGCCCGCCGTAGGCCTCGACACTTTTCTTCCACAGTTGTACTTGTGTGTTTATTTTGACCTTTTGTCCCGTGCACCATGGATAACCGGATAGATGCGCCCTTTATCACTCTGAATTTGTAGGACAATTACTGGATTACAGGGTCCCGTCGGGCGGATCAGGGTCTCAGACAGAACTTCCTGGTCGGACCGTGTGAAACTCTCGGCAAAATCACAAACTCTCGGGGATTTTCCGATACCACGCCGTTCTTCACAAACATACCACGCGTGCTGAAAAAAATTACGTTTCATCCCCCCGTGATTATATGTCATAAAGACTTAAAGTCATCTATATTTGATATCGGACTATCCCGTTATGTATTAACCAATATCACGGGGTATTGCCCAGTCGGCAGATATCCCAATTTCCTCCTTAGTCCTTTAGCTCCTGTCGGGTGGTCTATCTCGTGTGCCTCGGTGTCTGCGCGCCGAGGCTATGAAACTGATCCCCGGGATTAAGTAGGATTCTCGTATTTGCCGCTTGGGACTGATAATGTACGGTTAAATACGATCTGATCTGGGAAGACGCCAGCGCCCAGCCTTGGCACCACGCCCTAGACGAAAAAGAAATGTTATATTCTTTATTTTCTGTGGAAACTTTTATTATTTTCTGTTCCGTTATTTCTGGCCAAGATTTATTCGCATACAACGAGCATGTCATTAAACTGTCTTTTCGTAAAGTTTCTTTAGCGGACGCCACTTTGTCCCCATAAGGATGTTGTCTGTTATAACATAAGGGTTCTTACTGACTTTCTAAGCCCATTCAATGATTTAGTTCTCAGAATGCGGCCATTGCTTTTACTTTTGGTACGTCTCGGTCTTTGATCATGCTGGCTGGTCTCACCTGTTGTCTGAGACGGCCGGGTGTGTATTGCGGAGAAGCCAGCCCTTTGTTCCCGTTCGGCCGGCCCTACCGATCAATGGGCGGTCATTGTTTTTTCTCCTCTGGTAGTTGATTACCACCAACATCATATGCATATGAATGCGGACGTCCATATGATAAACACGGCCGACGTTTAATTATTCCTGTCCCAAAGAGTGGTGCAAATTGGGCTATCGGCCGGAGGAGGGCTCAAAGGGGTGCTCATAAATATCGTAGTCGGGACTTAGATTAAATCTTGATGCCTGGCAAAACAGGCCATCAGTTTGTCCAGCGATAGCGAAGTGAACACACCTCTTGCGATTGCCTCAGTCTTGTTGTTGCCCACACCATGATGAGAGTTCTCGTTTTCGTCACCGTAGTGACGACTGTCTGCACGGGAGTGAGCGGCGCGGCTGACGTGGACCCGAGGATAGCCAGGCTGGAGTCGGCGATGCTACGCGCCCTGGGGATGACGCACAGACCGCGACCCAAGAGAGGAGCGACCGTGCCCAGGCACATGCTGGAGCTGTACGGGCGGCAGGAGAAGCTCCGGGCCCAGACGGCCGGGGAGCAGTCCGGCTGCCAGTTCCCAGACGTCACCGTGCCGGGAAACATCGTCAGGAATTTCAAGGGCAAATGTAGGTACCATTTTCATATTTTTAATCGTTTCAAACAGTCTTGGTGTGCAGTATAAATGTTTATGTCTACCAGTGCTGTTAATTTTTGCTTGACATCATAACCGAGTAGTTTGAACGCAAATCAGCACAAGAGAGATGACTTGGTTCTATGTGATATTCTGATGACTTGAGTGTGACCACCAAACTATCTGAAGTCTATCATTTCCGTTATGTATGAATTTAGAGTACTGCCTATGTGTTCGCATTAAGTTATTGTGGGGCGTTCTCTAATAATTTTCTAGCAGCACTAACGTGGCTAAATTACGCTTGTGTGACGGCTTGTATTTTGTAACGCTAAAATATGACGGGGGCAAAACATATGATATTTTGATGCCAAACTGTCTTTTCCTATCGCATGATGTTTTACACATTTACTAAATTATTCTTATTATTTATTTTTAGACCATGACGCCGTCGACCCGTCTCCCACGGCCTGCTCCAGCCAAGGCGTGACGTACTCCGTCTCTGCCGTCGCCGCCGAGGAGTTCGTCCGTTCCGCCGAGCTGAGGGTGCCGATCCCGGACGACCCGCGAGTCTGGTCCGTGGCCAAGGCGTACACCGTCAGCGTCTACCGCGTCCTGCAGCCCGGTAAGGCCGCCAGCGCGGACAGTCTGGAGCTGCTCCAGTCTCACGTCATCACGCCGTTCGACAGAGACGACGTCAAGACTTTCAACATCGTCAGCGCCGTCCAGCACTGGCAGAGACGGGCGGAGGACAACCACGGCCTGCTGGTGTCCGTGGAGGCGGTGAAGGCGGAGGACGGGACGAGGCTAGACTCCTGCCCGCAGTTCAGCATCACAGACGCGGAACTGTTCGTCATCTCCACGGACATGCAGCAGTGCAGGAGCCGAGACAAGCGCTCCGCCCGGACGGTAGACTCCTCCAACGGCCCGGG